GGGCTTTAGGGATCCTCTTGCCTCAGCCTTCCAATTAGCTGGGACCTCAGGCTCATGCCACCATACCTGGCTAATTAAAAAAATATATTATTATTATTGTTATTTTGAGACACAGTTTCATTCTGTCGCCCAGCAGTGCGATTCTGAGCTCGCTGCAACCTCTGCCTCCCAGGTTCAAGCAATTCTTATGCCTCAGCCTCCTGAGTAGCCTCCTGAGTAGCTCCTGAGGCATTACAGGTGCCCGCCACCATGCCCAGATAATTTTTGTATTTTAAATAGAGATGGGATTTTGCCATGTTAGCCAGGCTGATCTCGAACACCTGACCTCAGGTGATACTTCTACCTTGGCCTTCCCAAAGTGCTGGGATTACAGGTGTGACCCACCACATCAGGCCTAAAAAAATTTTTGTAGTGACAAGGTCTCACTTTCTTGCCCAGGCTGGTTTTGAACTCCCGATCTCAACTGATTTTCTCTCCCCAGCCTCCCAAATCACTGGGATTCCAAGCTTGAGTAATTGTACCTGGCCTGAAATTAACGATTAGATAATGCCCCCTGGTGAACCTGTTTTACCACTCCAGGCAAGAGACAGGAGGTTTATTCTTTGAAGGAATTAACCAAAGGAGCCACAGTAAGAAGGACAAGGGCTGAGTGATGAGCTGCAGGAAATACATCAGACCGAAACCACAGTCTACACTTCAGTGTATTGAATTCTGTATCAGTTATCTTGTGCTGTGTAACAAACAACCTCAAAATTGTATTGCCTTTATTTTTAATCACCGTTTTATTTGTGTACTCCATGGTCAGCAATCAGGGATGGGGTTTTCTGGGCTGTTCTGCTGATCCCACCAGTTAGGCAGGATGCTGGCTGGATGCTCTAAGGTAGCTTCATTCACGTGTCTGGTGACAGTGCTGGCTGGCTGGCTGCTGGGGCTGTCTCTGCTCCGGGTCTCTCATCCACAAGATTCTAGAGGACAGTGGAGCAATGCCTTCCTTATGCCAAGGAACGTAAAGTGTTAGTAAGCTCCCTGTCCCCACCTCCTGGCAAGTCTAAATGCTGCCTCTTACAATCAGCTTCCTTAATAATAAAATAAATTTCACCTCCATCATTCTGTCTTTTCCGTCTTATTTTTTCAATTGATTCTAAATTCTGTAAGGCAGCCAGGGGTGATGGTTCTCGTCTATAATCCCAGCACTTTGGGAGGCTGAGACAGGCGGATCACTTGAGGTCAGGAGTTCGAGATCAGCCTGGCCGGTGTGATGAAACCCTGTCTCTACTAAAAATTCAAAAAAAAAAAAAAGAAAAAAAGTGGCCGGGTGCGGTGGCTCACGCCTGTAATCCAAGCACTTTGGAGGCCAAGGCAGGCGGATCACCTGAGGTCGGGAGTTCAAGACCAGCCTGACCAACATGGTGAAACCCCGTCTTAAAAAAAAAATATAGCCAGGCATGGTGGCATGCGCCTGTAATCGCAGCTACTCGGGAGGCTGAGGCACAAGAATTGCTTGAACCTAGGAGGTAGAAGTTGCAGTAAGCTGAGATCCAGCCTGGAGTGCAGTGTATTTGTAGTAGAGACAGGGTTTCACCATGTTGGCTGGGCAGGGCTCGAACTCCTGACCTCATGATCCACCCACCTCTGCCTCCCAAAGTGCTGGCAGTACAGCTGTGGGCCAGCATGCCTGGCATCTCTCTCTTTCTTTCCTACCCAAGAGAGAATACAAAGAAAATTTTTGAGTCTATGCATTGAGTCTGTGTTTGTGAAAATGTATTTTAACCTCATGATTGACCAATGAATAAAATAAAATAGAATAAAATAAAATGAAATAAGGGGTTTCTTTCTGTTTTTGTTTTGAGTCTGAATCTTGCTCCATCACCCAGGCTGAAGTGCAATGGTGTGATCTCAGCTCACTGCAACCTCCCCCGCATCCTAGGTTCAAGCAATTCCCCTGCCTCACCCTCCTGAGTAGCTGGGATTGCAGGCGTCCGCCACCTGCCTGGCTAATTTTTGTATTTTTGGTAGAGACAGGGTTTCACCATCTTGGCTAGGCTGGTCTTGAACTTCTGACCTCATGATCCACCTGCCTCAGCCTCTCAAAGTGCTGAGATTACAGGCATGAGCCATAGCGCCTGGCCCAGAAAACCCTTTTAAAATAACACTTACCACTGCCATTGATTGGGACTAGAAAGTGAGTTCGCAGAGCACCAATTTGTTCCAGAAATGCTGAGTGGTCCTTGTCTCCTGCCCCATGGCTGCAGAGCCCAGTCCAGGACTGCCCCCAGGCCCCATGACATTTATTCGCTCCTCCTAATAATCCCAGGCCAGGCCACACCCCGGGTTCTTGGGTTAATAGCAGTCTTCTTGACTTGGCATGTCACTGTGGAAATACTTAGAGAAAGAAAAATGCAAACAAGCGTGGGAAGTGTATCTTGTACATCTGCCATGCATGTTCATCCCCTATATTTTGAGGCAGAACCATATGCCAAGAACTTACAGTAAACCCACCCTGGCTAAATATTTACATATATTGCTTCATTTTCATTATCACAGGAAGCCAAGTGTTACTGTCCCATATTCCAGATGAGGAAGTTGCTATTGAGACAGTAAATGACAGAGCCACGCGTGGAACCCAGCACTCTGAGTGATTCCAAGCCCAAATTCACTGTGCTCCATAAGACAGATTCAGCTCTCGGCACAGCTGGCCTGCAAAGGGGTGCGACCAGCTGAGTCCTGCACACGTTTCTTTGTTATTTTATTTTTATATTTTTGGGACGGAGTCTCGCTCTGTCACGTAGGCTGGAGTACAGTGGCGCAATCTCAGCTCACTGCAACCTCCACCTCCCGGGTTCAAGCGATTCTCCTGCTTCAGCCTCCTGAGTAGTTGGGACTACAGGCGTGCACCACCATGTCTGGCTAATTTCTTCTTCTCCTTCTTTTTTTTTTTTTTTTTTGTATTTTTAGTAGAGATGGGGTTTTCACCATGTTAACCAGGATGGTCTCAATCTACTGATCTTGTGATCCGCCTGCCTCGGCCTCCCAAGGTGCTGGGATTACAGGCATGAGCCATCAGGACCTGGTGCAAACCTTTCTTAAAGTCAACTCTTCCTTAACACATTATTTATTTTTGAGGCAGAGTTTCACTCTTTTTGCCCAGGCTGGAGTGCAGTGCTCACTGCAACCTCTGCCTTTCGGGTTCAAGTGTTTCTCCTGCCTCAGCCTCCTGAGTAGCTGGAATTACAGGCACCTGCCGCCATGCCCAGCTAGTTTTGTATTTTTAGTAGAGACGGGGTTTCACCATGCTGGCCAGGATGGTCTCAAACTTCCAAGCTCAAGTGATCTGCCTGCCTCAGCCTCCCTCCCAAAGTGCTGGGATTACAGGTGTGAGCCACCACACCTGGACAACATGTTATTATTTTGACTAGCACAGGTGGTTGACAGAACGCACAGCAATGAAAAACTGTACCTTTTATTCAAAGCAGAACTTTCTTTGAATGCAGCAAAAAGGTAATGGCACTCCAAGCAAACAAGCAAGGAACAACTAAGAAACCCTATCGTGTTTTTTCTAACTCATGTCACTTCCCTTTAGTAGCCAACTACTTAGGCCGAAAAATGCTAATATGGAAAGGGTGGCCCACTGCTTTTTCCTTTCAGTTCTTCCTTACCCATCAGGAAGGCAGAGAGCATTGGCAGAATGTGCACAAAATGTGAAATCAGGCCAGGCACGGTGGCTCATGCCTGTAATCCCAGCACTTTGGGAGGCTGAGGCAGGTGGATCGCCTGAAGTCAGGAGTTCGAGCCCAGCCTGGCCAACATGGTGAAAGCCCGTTTCTATTAAAAATACAAATATTAGCTGGGCGTGGCAGTGTATATCTGTAATCACAGCTACTCGGGAGGCTGAGGCAGGAGAATCGCTTGAACCTGGGAGGCAGAGGTTGCAGTAAGCAGAGATTGCACCACTGCACTATAGCCTAGGCGACAGAGTAAGACAATATCTCACTCTGTCAAAAAAAAAAAAAGTGAAATCAAAATAATTGAGCTAGTTTTGTGCAATGCTCTCCCTGTTCTCATAGGAATAAAATACATGTGTGTGCATCATGTCAATGATTCCACAGACGAGTTAACAGGCCTTATGTTTGCGTCTGAAATCACTGTTGCACAATGTAAAGATGAAATGTGAAATTCATGCTAAGAATTTAAATCTCAACTTTTTACTTGGAATGGTATTTAATGGAAAATTTCCATGGCGACTCAAGAGAGACTATAACAGAAAGTGAAGTTTTGTCTTTTTAGTGTCCATGACATTTCTTCCCAGGTTTTTGAACAAGAAGCCCCACAAATGATGCAGCTGCAGGGTCGGATGCTAAGTGGTGGGTAGTGACGTCTGGTGAGGGAAGAGAACTCACATTTGCATAACACAGATCTAACAAGGTCCCTATTTCCCTGTAATTAAAAACAACACACGCCTTTTGGGTTTAATGATTTTATTTCTCCCTTCCCACAACCAGTAAAAAAAAAAAAAAAAAACTACAATCAGGCCTGGTGTGGTGTCTCACGCCTGTAATCTCAGCACTTTGGGAGGCTGAGGTGGGCGGACTGCTTGAGCCCAGGAGTTTGACACCAGCCTGAGCAATATAACAAGACCTGGTCTCAAAATTATACAATCAATGCAAGTACAAAGATCCAATTTTAAAAAATCACCGCAGTACAAAGGCGGCCACAGCCCCTGCCCGGGTTTAACTTACATATGTACAGGGTGTGCGGGCAGGCATGGCCACAGAGGTGATATTACAAAATATACAAAGTGGTTTCTTTCTTCCTATTTCATAGAAGAACCCTGCCTCATTTCCAAATGAGAGCACTAGAAGCACAAAATCATCCAGACCATTTACTATATAACTTATGAAAAATGCTGTACAGTGCTGACTATAAATATAGAGAATTTGACTCTGTTTGGGAATTGCTATCTATGAGGGTGAAGGTCACGGGAGGACTATCTGATATCCTGACCTGCTGGGACGGTGGAGAAGCTGGGATGGAGGAGGACCCAATCTTGCCACATGGCTACACCTACTCCCCCTTTCCAAGGTAAGGCTGGAGCTCATTGGCCAGAAAGAATTGGGATGGTTGGGGGTGGGTGGGGGGCAGTGATGTAATAGGCAGGGGCTGTGGAAGGCAGAGAAGGCGTCTGGGATGAGAAGGAGTGCACCCCTTTGAGCCAGACACATGCGCTCGACTGTACTCAATGATCCCACTTCACCGGGCGGTCCAACTGGGTGCAGATTTCCCCACCCTGAGAAAAGTCTGGAGCTTTGTAGCCATGAAAAGAGGGCAGCTAATCAAAGCCCATCTACGGGAAAATGGAAAAATGTTTGGAAAGAGATTCTAGTGGGTGGGGGATGGAAAGAAGGAAGTTAACCCAGGAAGTCATCTTGCACAAAACGTGAGGAGGCTGAGAGGGGTGAAGAGCTATTCCAGACGTAGATACTCCCTGGGATTCAAGGTGGCAGCATGCAGGCTGGAGAATTTGCATGTTTTATTTCAAAAGATCCAACAGGGAGGGTTTTTGTTGTCTGACCAAGAGAGGGGCGCTAGGCTTTAGCCACAATGCGTTTTAATTTGGCTTCTAAGTTCGCTAAATTCAGAACCTGGGGCCCTTTTGGCAGATACACCACACCCCCTAAATGCCAAGCTACACATTCCCCACTCTCTTCTCCTCCATCTGCCCTACTCTCTGTCTCCTAAGACAAGAGCGGCAAGTGGGCGCGTGTATCCAGCCTGAACTCTCTGTAGTTCAGGTGTGGCTCCCATCCCCAAAGCGTGAGGACAAGGACACTGCGGGTGAACTGCTTGGACAAGCACACCTGTCCAGGTGAGGAAACCCTGATGGGAAATGTGGGAACACTAGGAAGTGGGATGGACACACATTTGTGACCTTCAGTTTCCAAATAATGACGCTGTGTCCCCTGACCCTTTGACAACATAACCATTAGCAGGGCAGATGCTCCCTGGGGCTGATCTGAGGCAAGGAGGCCATGGGGCTGCTGCTCTCGGTTGCCAGGCTTTGGTTTCAAAAAAAAAAGAGAGGCCTGAGCTTGATAGTCACAGAGCATACACTTCCCCATCTGGGGGAGCCTCCCATATGTTCCTTCCCTGGGCCTTTTCTTTCTGAAGATGGTTTTCGAGTCTGAAAATAGGTTCTACTGACCAACCCAGCTACATGCAGGATTAGCCATCTTTCCAGCCACGTTCATTCTCTAATTCTCTTTAGGTATCATCCTGTGTCTTCCTGGAGTAAGAGACTACTGAGTCTCCGGGGGCTGGAATCAAACTGCCCTGCAGGCCTATCCAAGCCACAGGGAATCGAGTTACGTAGGAGTGCATCAATTTCATTCGCTAATTTGAAACAAATCTCCTTGAGGTGGTGAAAGGGTGCAGCAGTGGGAGGGAGGAGAACACGCAGGACTCAGGGTCCCTTCCTCCACCTCTGGCGACCCGGACAGCCCCCTACAAGGCCGTGCATTCGGTCTTTGAGTCCGGGGCAGGGACCTCACCCTGAGCCTCTGTGCTAATGGTTATGTTGTCAAAGGTCTCAGGGGCCTTGACAGGGACGGCGTGCGCCTCCTGCCCCTCCTCCAAGTCCTCGCAGCACCTGCTGCAGCGGCAGCACTTGCAGCCACCACACAGCAGGCAGCACACGCGGCAGCACACGCGGCAGCAGCAGCAACAGGGCAGCTGGAAGCAGCCGGCCAGCTTGGAGACCACGGCGTCCCAGGGCTTCAGCGAGCGCATCCACAGTGGCAGCCAGTTCCAGTTCTGGAGTATCTTGGGCAGGATGCGTGGGCAGCAGGACTGCAGCAGGCGGAGGCACAGTACCAGGATAACGATCAAGAGGATGGGCACACCGACACCCACCAGCACCGGCCAGCCGGCCAGCGAGAGGCCAAATACCGTCAGCGGGATCAGGAAGAAGAAGACGATCAGGTAGAAGACTGCGAACCAGCGATACTTGGCAGAGATGTTGCCCAGCCCCTTGGCCATGCGGATGGGCAGGCGAGTGAACGGGATCGGGTACCACAGTAAGATGCCGGAGACGTTGAAGAAAAAGTGGCACAGGGCAATCTGCAACACGAGAGGTTGGACAGGTGAGGGGTCTCTTGCCAGGTGGGGGCGGTTGGGGGGAGAGAGAAGGGAAGGGGGAGGTCAGCTAGGAGGCATCACAGCCAGCATGGTCACAGGCCTTCCAGGCCTTCCTTGTCTTTACAGCTCAGCCCAGAGGGTATCTGGATTCCATGAAGACCTACTATGTGTCTGGGAGGGCCAGGGGCCCTCAGTGGTGCATTCTGTCAATCCTCAACACCCTACAGAGTGGCAACCATTTTTCCTTGACATGGAGGCATCATGGGGTTATGGTCCCCAAATCGACAGGTGGGAGATGGAAGAGGTGGAAATGCACATCCCACAAGCATGGCTCTAGAGACCAGGCACTTGGTCACTTTCCCAAGGCCGGTGCCAAGTACCATGCCCAGGCTATGGACCAGCCCTGTCTAATACACTGGCCACACGTCCACCCAGAGATGTGCTTTAAGTATGAAATACACACGAGATTTCAAAGACTTAGTTCCAGAAAAGAATGCCAAATATCTCAATGTTTGACAGACTGATTACATATTAAAGTGATAATGGTTTAAATCAAATACATTATTGAAAAATGAATCTGTTTCTACTTTTAAAGATGTACCTACTAAAAAATTTTGGGATAACATGTGCAGTTAATCTATATTACATGCTTGAATTTATATTTCT